GGTGAGTGCGGATAGCTTACAGCCTGGTGAGTGCGGATAGCTTACAGCCTGGTGAGTGCGGATAGCTTACAGCCTGGTGAGTGCGGATAGCTTACAGCCTGGTGAGTGCGGATAGCTTACAGCCTGGTGAGTGCGGATAGCTTACAGCCTGGTGAGTGCGGATAGCTTACAGCCTGGTGAGTGCGGATAGCTTACAGCCTGGTGAGTGCGGATAGCTTACAGCCTGGTGAGTGCGGATAGCTTACAGCCTGGTGAGTGCGGATAGCTTACAGCCTGGTGAGTGCGGATAGCTTACAGCCTGGTGAGTGCGGATAGCTTACAGCCTGGTGAGTGCGGATAGCTTACAGCCTGGTGAGTGCGGATAGCTTACAGCCTGGTGAGTGCGGATAGCTTACAGCCTGGTGAGTGCGGATAGCTTACAGCCTGGTGAGTGCGGATAGCTTACAGCCTGGTGAGTGCGGATAGCTTACAGCCTGGTGAGTGCGGATAGCTTACAGCCTGGTGAGTGCGGATAGCTTACAGCCTGGTGAGTGCGGATAGCTTACAGCCTGGTGAGTGCGGATAGCTTACAGCCTGGTGAGTGCGGATAGCTTACAGCCTGGTAGTGCGGATAGCTTACAGCCTTGTGAGTGCGGATAGCTTACAGCCTGGTGAGTGCGGATAGCTTACAGCCTTGTGATTGCGGATAGCTTACCAGCCTGGTGAGTGCGGGATAGCTTACAGCCTGGTGAGGCGGATAGCTTACAGCCTGGTGAGTGCGGATAGCTTACAGCCTTGTGAGTGCGGATAGCTTACAGCCTGGTGAGTGCGGATAGCTTACAGCCTGGTGAGTGCGGATAGCTTACAGCCTGGTGAGTGCGGATAGCTTACAGCCTGGTGAGATGCGCGATAGCTTACAGCCTGGGGAGTTGCGGATAGCTTACAGCCTGGTGAGTGCTGGATATAGCTTACAGCCTGGTGAGTGCGGATAGCTTAACAGCCTGGTGAGTGCTGATAGCTTACAGCCTGGTGAGTGCGGATAGCTTACAGCCTGGTGAGTGCGGATAGCTTACAGCCTGGTGAGTGCGGAATAGCTTACAGCCTGGTGAGTGCGGATAGCTTACAGCCTGGTGAGTGCGGATAGCTTACAGCCTGGTGAGTGCGGATAGCTTACAGCCTGGTGAGTGCGGATAGCTTACAGCCTGGTGAGTGCGGATAGCTTACATCTGGTGAGTGCGGATAGCTTACAGCCTGGTGAGTGCGGATAGCTTACAGCCTGGTGAGTGCGGATAGCTTACAGCCTGGTGAGTGCGGATAGCTTACAGCCTGGTGAGTGGCGGATAGCTTACAGCCTGGTGAGTGCGGATAGCTTACAGCCTGGTGAGTGCGGATAGCTTTACAGCCTGGTGAGTGCGGATAGCTTACAGCCTGGTGATGCGGATAGCTTACAGCCTGGTGAGTGCGGATAGCTTACAGCCTGGTGAGTGCGGGATAGCTTACAGCCTGGTGAGTGCGGATAGCTTACAGCCTGGTGAGTGCGGATAGCTTACAGCCTGGTGAGTGCGGATAGCTTACAGCCTGGTGAGTGCGGATAGCTTACAGCCTGGTGAGTGCGGATAGCTTACAGCCTGGTGAGTGCGGATAGCTTACAGCCTGGTGAGTGCGGATAGCTTACAGCCTGGTGAGTGCGGATAGCTTACAGCCTGTGAGTGCGGATAGCTTACAGCCTGGTGAGTGCGGATAGCTTACAGCCTGGTGGAGTGCGGATAGCTTACAGCCTGGTGAGTGCGGATAGCTTACAGCCTGGTGAGTGCGGATAGCTTACAGCCTGGTGAGTGCGGATAGCTTACAGCCTGGTGAGTGCGGATAGCTTACAGCCTGGTGAGTGCGGATAGCTTACAGCCTGGTGAGTGCGGATAGCTTACAGCCTGGTGAGTGCGGATAGCTTACAGCCTGGTGAGTGCGGATAGCTTACAGCCTGGTGAGTGCGGATAGCTTACAGCCTGGTGAGTGCGGATAGCTTACAGCCTGGTGAGTGCGGATAGCTTACAGCCTGGTGAGTGCGGATAGCTTACAGCCTGGTGAGTGCGGATAGCTTACAGCCTGGTGAGTGCGGATAGCTTACAGCCTGGTGAGTGCGGATAGCTTACAGCCTGGTGAGTGCGGATAGCTTACAGCCTGGTGAGTGCGGATAGCTTACAGCCTGGTGAGTGCGGATAGCTTACAGCTGGTGCGGATAGCTTACAGCCTGGTGAGTGCGGATAGCTTACAGCCTGGTGAGTGCGGATAGCTTACAGCCTGGTGAGTGCGGATAGCTTACAGCCTGGTGAGTGCGGATAGCTTACAGCCTGGTGAGTGCGGATAGCTTACAGCCTGGTGAGTGCGGATAGCTTACAGCCTGGTGAGTGCGGATAGCTTACAGCCTGGTGAGTGCGGATAGCTTACAGCCTGGTGAGTGCGGATAGCTTACAGCCTGGTGAGTGCGGATAGCTTACAGCCTGGTGAGTGCGGATAGCTTACA